GTGGGACCTCATATATCAAACTAATAAAATTCGCTCGGCAATGTAAGCCACCTTAATAACAAAAAAAAAAAAAAAAATTTAAAAAGAATAAAATATTTATAATTCTTACTATTTATATTTTTTCATTTTTATTTTTTTTTTAATTTTTAATTGGCTTTGAAAAGTATATTACTAGTAGTATAAAAATCTAAATCCAATCTATTAATATTATTAGTTATTAATAAAAATTTTTTATTTTTTAATTAGATTATTAATAAAAAAATTTTAACTAATTTTTTATCATCTGTATTATAAAATTGTTAAATAAATAAACTTTCAGAAATTTACGATTTTTTTAATTTTTTAAAAATTTCTTTATTTTTATTACACAAGATCCTGCAACACTCTAATAAAAAATATATTGATCAAAATAATTTTTTTATAAATTTACATTAAACTTTGGAAAGTATTATAAATACATAGTAATATTAGTGCCGATGCCATTGCATCCGGCACACCAAAAAATACTCTTTAAATTGTTTTTTTTTTTTTTTGAATAAGAAAACGGTATTGTATGAAGTATAATTGCTAGACTATTGTAATAAATTAAAACTAACATATATTAAAATTAGTAACGATAAATTATATATAAAGAGAACGGAGTACCAATTACTATCCTATTTCGCATCTTTTAAAGTCTAAAAATTCTTCAAAATCAAATTAATTAACATCGTAGTTGGCTAATATACTATATTCATTACCAGTCTTAATTGCCAAACACCAAGTTCCTTTATAATTCATCACAACATCACAAGCCATGGTAATACATCCATTGGAATCATTCCTATCAATTAATTGTTCAAGACATGTTTGTCTTTCCATTCCAGGACTACCAACAATTATTGATGGAATTTTTTTACGAGAAGTTACATTGAATAATATTACTTCAAAATGAGTTCGTTTAGTGTAACCGAGTGTTTGGTAGATAGGTTTAATTATTGTACATGAATATGGAGCGCTATATTGATATACGAATTTCCTGTATTTTGCGCCTGTACCCGAGTTTTTTATTAGTATGCTACAGATTCCTGGACACTGTTATTTAATATATTATTAATAAAACTAAAATTTCTTAATATTATTGAATAATATAACGAAATATTGGATACAAACCTCTTTTAAACCTTCTTTGTTGTAATATAATTGAAGTTTTCCATCACCACGTGTAGGACAACCAATTCTTAGTCGATGTAAAATTCCACCTTTGGGACCTGGAATAGCTAATCTTTGTGAAAAAACATCTATTTTTTTCCCTGTCCATTCTAAACTGGCAGTAACTTTATTTATTCCACCATCATCTATTAATTGCTCTAAATCTAAGATTATATTATCATCTATCGCTTCTATTTCGGAACCATGATATCTTAAAAATCTAAGACCTTCGGCGAAGAAACCGGATTTATAATATGGCTGGTTATTAAATTCTTTTCTTGTAATAGTAGGTTGTAAATATTGTTGGGTTGTTTGTTCAGGAAAATGGGAATAAATAAATTGGATTGGAGAAGTAAGGAAGTAGAAAGGTTCGAATCTTTTAGTGAATCTATTATTATTTACGTGTCCAGCACCCCATGTAGAATCTATGAAGAGATATTCCCCTTTGTATAAAACCCCATTCCATGCATGAGCATGAGAACGATCATTTGGACCAATAATATCTCCAACTTGAAATCCCGCACCTAAAAATATATATATATATATATTAGTACTGAGTTCATAAGTTCGAAAATTTCAAAGTTTTAAAGGATAATAATACCTTTTGCATTTCCCGAAATTTGCCATACACGCAAACCAGCTTCATTTGCTAACCTATAAAATAATTCAGCATATCCAGCGCATACAGCAGTTCTGGATTTCAAGACATCTTTGGCTGATTGATGCGATAATTTTCCTAAAAAAATAATTAATATTTAAATTTTAGAGATACCACATTAGACAATAAATATAATAAACCATTGATTTAAAAAAACAAATATAATACCCGAAAAAAATGAAACACAATCATAAGAAATATTATCAGTGATCCATACGAAAATAGCACGCAATTTATATAAATCATCATCCCATCCTGAAGTCAAGTAATTTGCCAATCTAGTTTCAGATCTAGTTTCAGATTCAGGAGTTTCACGTGCGTATTCATCAACAGTTGAAAAATCATAATCTATCAAAGGAATAAATCATACTGGTACGTTATAAAAAATAAAGAATAAAAAATAAAAATAAAAAAAATAAAAATTAAAAATAAAAAAATCTATAACACATACCGGACTTAACCAAGTATTCATTAAAATCTTTGTCAACTATAGGTAGGCAACGACTTTTTCATAAAAATTTGAAAATTTTATCAATTCGAACTATATAAATCGACAAATCTAAACAAATATAAAAATGGAAAGTACCTAACAGGATCAGGATTCTCATCAGACTCATCAACAAGTGTCTCACTGCTAATTGAAAAGGCAGTTGAAGCTTTGCTACTACTTTTTTCACTAGCAATGGAATTAGACGAATTATTCCTTCTAATCGACGGACGACTAGTATTAGTCGAATCCTGTCTAGATGGAGATTTTTTCCTTATATAAGCACTTTCAACTTGCATTTCAGAATTTTGCCGAATCAAAAGTTTTTCACGCGAAGGTAATGGTGGTGGTACTTTATCTACAGATGGTTGATGTTTAACTAAAGAATTAATGACCGATTTTGGTTTCGGGATTTTTTCATTCCGTTGTTCTAAAACTTTTTGAAGATCATCTCCGAACCAAGGATTTGAGATTCTGGAGCATTTTTTGGCATATTTGAATAAAACTAGTATATAAAAAAATCTGAAAAAAATGGTACAAGGATACAGAAGTATAGGAGAAAAAAGAAAACATCTCTAGGAAAAAAAAATTTACACAGATAGAAAAAAAGAAAAAATGATCAAAAAAAGAAGCTACAATAAGAAAAGCAAGCGGTAAAGTAGATAAGAATACAGAAAACTATAATATTAGTCTTAAAATAGTATTAGATAGTATAACTAGGAAAGTAAAAGAAGGAGTAGTAGCAAGTTAGTTTTTAAGTTAGTCATAATAGGCTGTGGCATCCTTCCCATCACTTATATATAATTTATAAACTTTATAAAT